TATATATATATATATATATATATATATATATATATATATATCAGGGATTAAACATCTAATTTCATGAGGTAGCATTTTGAACAAGGTTACTGTTTAGTAAGAAAGGAAAACACATTGAATAATTTGATGATACACAGGTATCTTACATGTTTATATAAGGAAAGTTTCAGCTCGCGTAATTCTTGCCGATCGGATGCTTTCGTTTGTGTGACCCCTTTATGCAAAGTAGTCTGAACGACCAGATAGATACTGTACAACAATGAGTACACCGCTCCAGGCTCTTCTTGCACGATTGCTTGGGCTTCGCGCGCACGAAGGCTCACCCCTAGCTGAGAAAGCGCTGTTGCAAGCCTTGTGAAATTGTTTATTTTGACCTCGGATGTACTACATAATGAAAATAATTAGATCGCTTTCGGCTTTAATCACCTCAAATCTTTGAAGTACCCAAAATCCTTTTGCATTCCGTACTTGTTGAGTAACTTGCCGAATAGATAACCATTGGCGAATTGCTGCTCAATGGAAGCTAAGTGTGGAAATCGAAGAGTAATTCAGAGTAGCACGACAAAATAAAAAACCTGCGTTATCAATTAGGTCTTCTTCACGAAGCCAGGAAAGTATTATGTTTGTCATCTTTTTCGTAACAGTTTTCCGTATGCTGTTTTCCGGAATATACCTGTGAAGATATTTTTACTTTAACTGAAAAACAAATTCAAAAAGCCGCATAAGCACTGATGGGCATTGTGTTATCGAATATCACTATTTTTCGGAGTTCTATCATCAGGATCATTTTCGAATCAATCAACATCTGAAAAGCAACTGACTAAACGGATGGGATAATGATACCGTTATGTAAACCAAGTGATCACGGTTGAAAGGTTACTGAATGGTTATACGCCCGGAACCGATCCTGTCATTCAGCTTTTTACCACGTTTATCAACGCACATTGTTAATTTTAAAGCGAATTATATGAAGAGAGGGAAACTTGATGGTAAAAGGTATACTTTAAACGGAGATGTGTGTGAAGGGACATTCAGGAACATTCATATTTGAAGACAAAAAGGAGGTAAGTGTTTAGAAATAAGGAAATGGTAAGACTATTGCACAATTTTGAAATCTTGGAAAAACAAAACTGGAAAATTGAAGTCCGGCTTTTGTGCACAGAAACCTAAAGACGATGACTACCCACCCGAGGGAGAGACGAGAAAAGGGCAGGGAGAAGGAGCCATTGAGGTGAGTTTAAAAGAAAAATCCCAAAATAGTAACGGTAGAAAATAAATAAAGAAGCGACTATCCACCTGCGAGAAATTAACCGCAGGTTGGGAGTCAAATGCAAGTTGATGGTAAGCCGGATGACCTCACTCGAAACTCTGTAAAGAGGAAAAATAACACGGTACGAAGCATCACCCCGAAATGTGACCGCGGCATTAGAGCATCAATCGAACTCAGGCTTTGTATTAAACAAGGTGAAGGTGTTTTAAAGCGCCTGGAGTGGAACAGGAAACCGATTTCAGGGTCTGTGTGAGATGCAAGTGTGGTAATTAAAGGAGACCAAAAGAGAGACAAATTTATGCATAAACCCAGGAGAAAGAAAAATCTGTGGAACAAAGGAGAAGCCAGTCAGAAATCAATCAGGGAGATGGAACATGTGTAAGCCAGACGGAAAGTATAGAAGTTTGGAGGCGTTGAAGCAAACATGGTAAAACCCCGTGTAGAAATGACTCCGAAATCGAAAGAAAGAAACGTGACAAAGGCACTGTGCCCCTGATGGATGTTGATAGTAACCTGATTCATTGTTGAGTAAGAAAGGGAAAATTGGAGAATGACATCACTAACCAAGCGGTGAATGGAATTACAGGTTTTGGATATATATATCTATATGTATATTTATACATATATATACATATATATATACTGAAGCAAATGGCCACCGAAAGTATTCGGTACTTGTTGTCAAACGACCGAATTTGCATTTAAAAACGTGACTATCCGTGGACAAACTAGTGAAACTCGTAGAACTTTTTATGGAATCCTACTTTCAATTTGACGGGAAGGGGTACCAACAGATACGAGGAACTCCAATGGGTTTGACACTCTCAGACCTGCTTGCGGATGCGGTTATGAAACACTTTGAAGCCGTAGTCTTTGAANTTTGAAATTTTACAACCTCATATAGGAATACGGTATGTGGCCGATACATTCATCATACTCAGAGCCTCCACGGTAGATCAGTTCCACCAAATGGCCAATGAGCAGGTGCCTGGTATTGATTTCACATGAGAGGAAGAAAAAGATGAACAACTGTCCTTCCTCGACATCCCTCTTGTGAGAAACCTGACGGAAGAATAGAAACCATGGTCTACTTAAAGCCAACCACGACGGACCGCATCTTCGATCACAATAGTAACTACCCTATGCGCCACCTTAAAAGTTGTGTGCGAAATCTATTCCGCTGAGCAAACACACATTGCAGTAAACTGGATCTAAGGACAAGAGGAAAAAATCGACTCTTTTGACTGGTCTTATCGAACGCATATCCCAAGAGTTTTATCAACGCGTGGCTCAGAGGTAAAAAGCAAACACCACATACAAAAAAGGAATTTGGATAAGGTTACCTTACACAAGCAGCACGTCAAAAGCCACCGAACAAATACTCCAACCTTTGGGAATCAAGATCGCTCACAAACCGGCAACAACCGGGCGATCGTTTCTTTTCAACGGTAAGAATCGAGTCAAACAGTACAATCGATCGGGAGTAATCTATGCAGTCCCATGCCTGGGCTGCAACAAACAGTACATAATTGAGACTGTCAAACAACTGCACACTCACCTACATGAACACCGAAAGCCTCAGTATGGTCGGGAGTGGGTGTCTAGGCTTACGGCTGGTCACCGTTCCCTTGCACCTCGCAAAATGCTCCCATACGACCAAGCGTCTCAAATAGCCTCTGCTNTGCTGAGAAAGCCCTACTCACCGCCTTCTCGTGGCGGAGGTGTTTTTCCACGAAAGTGAGAGGACGAAAAGCCAACATCCGGGGCTATAACCGGGTTGGTGGATCCCTGGTAGTTCATCCAGTGGATTTGGTCAAACACCCTAATTCCAAACCAACCAAAAGGAGGCGTACGAACCACACCCACACCTTTAGGGTTGTGGCAACGGTCACCGGCTCGATTGACCATCAAGGTGTATTTGTCACCTTGAACGTGTAACCCCATCTGAAGGGCGTGTGATCCGATGAACTGGACACCGGCTCCAAATGGACTGCGGTTTTTACGCACCGCACAGCTGCGTCGCGGGTCAGACTTTGGGTAACCGAATGCTATGGTTGTGGATTCCCAAAAGAAACTTTCCTTGGACTGGGCAACCCGGAAGTATTCAGCCCACAAGCCAAATCTGGAACCACTGTGCACAGACAGATCACTAGATCGCGATCGATGCCGCAAAGGTGGCAGCGCGAGCTAAGAAGAACGGTGAACGAGTGATCCTTGAAGCGCTCCACTCCATCACTTCGTTCAACCGACACGTCGAGATAGAAAAGCATTACATCACACTCATAAAACTCGTGACGTTTGGTGGACTGGTACACGTACAAACAGCACACAGGCGCCCTGAAAGACGGTAATCCCATTATCTAATTCAAGTCATTTAAGTTTGACAACGACTAATAGTTTGTATCAAAACGTTACGATAAACATTTTATACCTCAGTGTACGCCTCCATTGTCTTTTGAAATATATATTATCAGCTTGTGGACAAGCCTGCAGGCACCATGGTGTCAACTTCACGACGGTAATAACAGAAACAGGGGATGTGTGGATTAGGATCAAAGATAATTAAATAGAGAAATAGAGCGAACCATAATACGACACCTTGGGGAACACCGGCGTTCATTGGGAACGGCCGAGATAGAACCCCATCGATTCGAAAGGAGGTATATCTCCTATAGTTCTACTATAGTTCGGTTGACGCTGTATGTTTATACAAAGTACAAGTGAACAATAAAGTAGTGAATCAGATACTTCGCAATCGAAAAAATGTAATTCCATCAATGGGGAAAATTCGTTCCGAAAAATGGGTTTCGGTGTTGAGGAATTCAAATTCATGTTTATTAAGGTCTATCTTTGGACTGTGGAGAAAATTTCACATTGATCGCATGAATTCGTGAAATACTGATCACAATGATGTTCGGGTTTCAGAAGTTTTACAGTTTGCTTTCGCTACAACCCATTAGCGGCGCTATATTAGTGGCCAGTGAGCCGACCAAAGAAGGCTTGTTAACAAATAAAACCTTTTTTTCACAAACACACAGTGGAAATCGTTGAATGCACTACTGTACAGCTAATTCCTCGTAGTAAGCATATTCAATATTTTTTTAAGAATTGTTTTGCATTTTTGATTACAATCGCCTTAGTGGTCCTGAGCAGTCTGGAGAAACCATTAGTAAACTGCACTCAAAAAGCTTTCTCGAAATCAAAAGGTGTTGCGTCCTCAACAGTTTCAGTTTTCACAACCAATAACCACGTATCACCAACAATCCATGAGCCTGGTGATTTTTAAACATGGTTTCTACCGGTTACCAGCTATATGAACTCCGACGTCTGTCAGAGACATATATGTCTCACTGGATCGTATTTATAAACACCATTCACACCAACGGATTGGCAAGTTGCCAAGGTCATTACAATACGTAAACTTTGAATGCCCGCTTTTTACCTTGGATACAGGTCAGGTCAGGTGAGGTCAATTGAGTTAACTTAAGTTAAGTTTGCACACGACGGAAGGGACAGGACAGAACAGGACAGGTCACAGGAATTGTGGCGGAGCCAGGAGCAGTTCAGTTCAGTTCGCACAGGACAGTAGTGGCCGAGACCAATCGTGCGTCCAGATCGTAGTGTTGTCAGCTAGTCTCCTTGGCTTCCAACACTGCTCAGGTCAGGTCAGGTCAGGTCAGGTCACAGGACTTGTGGCTCGAGCCAATGTGTGTCC